TTTGCCACCTAATGGGGATAGCCGACAGATCAAACACTTACGTAATATGGGAAAAGCAGGCTCCTGGGGCCCACTGGCCTCTGTGAACATTAAAGACCAACACAATAAAAAATGCTCCTTGGAATGCACACAGCAGGTATGGGTTGGGCTTTGGAATAACCTCTGCAGACAGACTGAATCTTCCTCTCTCGGGGTATTTTAAGTAAGATAATGCTTTCTTGTTTTGTTCTCAGCAAGGACCCCCTGTGGCTGAGATGATGGTGTCCTTGGGACCAAAAGAAGTGCGGGAACGAATAAAGAAGGCGCTTTCCAGCTAGAGTGACGCACGGCACTGTGGAAGTGGACCTGTGAGCTCTGTGCTTGGAGACTGTCCTTAGAGAACAGGAGAAGGCAGACTAGGGCCCAGTACAAATGGCACCAAGATGGTGCCTGACTTGAAGATAGGACTTTTTGCTCCCATAAAGATTTCCAGTCTTGGAAGCCCTATACAGGTCACTGGAAGTTGAAACCGACTTGATGGCAGTAGGTTAAGGCCAGTCATTTGATGGGAGTTACAAAAACAATAGCCAAAAGAGCCACAGCGAATCCTTCCCTGCACTGTAGCCCAGTCAGCAGTTGGTAACAACATTTTTGAGCACACACAGTGTATTGTGAGTCCATGCAGGCGCCTCCTCAGCTGATCAGGGAAACCCAGTTCCTTCTTATCTTGACTCTAGAAAGAAAGGCCATGTACCATGACGCAGCAGAGGTAGGTTCATAGAACTGTCACTGTCACAGAAGGGTCAGCTGTCCAGGGTGTGTGACAGCAGCCCAGATGTGAAGATTCCTCAGGTCCGTCAGTGTGGATCTAGAGTAGAAGAGGGTGACTGGCACCAGCAGGGCTGACTTGATGTCGGCCATACTTTGGGGGTGGTATGGGAAGAAGTTACTCATCTATCAAAGGTTTTACACTCTGTGCCTGCACATTGGGGCAGGCTGCTTCTTCTTACCCTGAAAGGCATCTCTTCCTCTCTTCCAATTCTCTAGACCTGGTCCTTGACCTGGAGACCTTCACCCTGCCTATTTACATCTTTTTCTTCAGATCCGCTCTCTTCTGCCTATAACGTGTCACTGCCCAAGGGTTTCTGAAGTTAGGTGTTCTTAGGAACACCTTAGGTAGCTGGGAATGTCTATAATGAAAAGAGGATGGTGGCTACAAACAAAGACTCCGGGCTTAGAGTTTTCCATGTATGGTAGCCAGCCTCTGAGAACGTCACCAGTGTACTCAGGCGTACTCTCTTTCCATACTGAATAGGGCTGACTTGTGTGCTCAGTAAACCACTGAGGAAAGATGGCTTTGACTTTTGAGACTGGGTCGTAAAGTACAGCGTGGCTCTCATCCTATTTTTCTGGATCGCTTACTTTTGAAGAAGCCAACTTCCAGGTCATGGAGACTCCCAAGCAGGCCTATGGAGAGCTGGATGTAATGGGAAAAGGTCCTCCTGTCACCAGCCATATATGTGAGCAACATCAGAAACTGACCTTCCAGCCTGAGTCAAATCTCAGATGCTTGCAGACCCAGCCAGCATCTTGACTACGACCTGCATGAAGAAACCTGAGCCAGGACCTCTTGGCTACAGGACTCTTGGATTTCAGCACACAGATCGTGAAATGATAAATGTTTACTGTTGAAAGCTACTTTGTTTTCCGGTAATTTGTTACCCATCAGTAGATAACTTAACACATACTTATTGCCGGGGAGAGTAGGGAAAGAGGATCAAAGAGTTTGTTAATCCCTGGAGGCTTAGTCATTTCTTTAAAGTATATCAGAGGAGGAGGGACTTCCAGCAAGATGTCAAACTAGGCAGACCCACTACACAGACCCCCTACAAGAAAGGTCTGAGAGACCAAATAAACACACAGATGAAAATCCTGGAATCCTAAACTTCAGAGGAAAGGTTAGAAAAATAGACAGAGTGCTCACTAGGAGAAACTGAGCAGGGACAGTTAAAGAGAGATTGACTAACTGACAAACAGCTAGCCAGATGTAGTCTGACCAACAGAAGGTGGCCTGGCAGAGCAGATTCACACAGGCGACTAAAAAGGTGTGATTCCTTCTGAACGTCAATGGATTAAATGCACCAGTCAAGAGACGTTCATTCAATTCACAATAAAAAACAAAATCAAACAACCAAACCACAACAATCTAGATTAGCTGGAGAAAAATGTCTGCCGTGAGCAGACATTTTTTAAGGACTATCTACGTGGTTGAGTCAAAAATTATCCGCACTCGTATTAAAACACCCATCCACATCCTACCGTTGATGACAATATTGAGGGTATTGTGGTGGTTATGTGCCGTGGAGTCGGTTCCAACTCATAGTGACCCTGTACAGGGTTTCCGAGGCTGTAAATCTTTACCAGAGCAGAAAGCCTCATCTTTCTCCCACAGAACAACTGGTAGTTTCAAACTGCTGACCGTGAGAGTAGCAGCCTGATTCGTAACCACTATGCTACCAGAGCTTCTTGTATCTTAATTTGGGGCAGGAAAATTTGTGTATTGTCAGTCCCTTGGGCAGGGTACATTGAGCATGAATTCATCAACTCCTACTTCACTGCAGACCTCAAACTTCTCTCTAATGCAAAGTGAGGAGCCTTAAAAGAAATGCAAGAATCCCTGAACCCATTAGCTAATGTAGCCGTAGATAACTGCATTGTTGTTAAGTGCTGGTCTGAGTCAGTTTCCATTCAGTGATCTGATAGAGGGTTTCTGAGGAGCAGCTGAACTTGAACTACTGATTTTATGGTTCAAACCAACCTTGCATTCCAGCGTATTAACCTGCAGCACCATACCAGGACTCCTAGATAACCACATAGCACTGAAAATCTGCTTGCCTCTCAGAGCAGTGTCTGTCCCATCATAAATACAACCTGCTGTGTGTACATCAATAATTCTGCAAAAGTCAAGATGCAAACCAATGAAATTCTTAACTGTGCTGTTTGGCTCTGAGAAATTAGGATATCCAGCTACTATCAGGCCTAACTGACTGTATGGGAAACCAGCCGGGGGATGGTGTGGGGGGGGAGTTACTGGCTTTGATTTCTACTCTCTCTCATTCTCACCGTTCTTTTAATCTTAATGCGCATCTATTTGGCCCCAACCTCCTCAATCTACCTACCAGGCTTACTTCCTCCAGGCTCCAGGATGCTCACCTAAAATGCCTCGCCGCCTCCTGGGCCCTTAGCACAGGCAGAGACTTCTACCAGGCTAGGCAGGCTTACAACCCAGTACCAGACTGAAGTAGCTCCAGAAAATGAGAGCTCTGCCCCTTACCCCCAAAAGATTTTTTGTTGCAAGTCTCTCTAGGTTGGGGGGAAACATTAGGGTAAGAGGACAGGAGGAAAATTAATGAAAAAATCAGTAATGGTGGCAGCAAGAAGGATAATAAAACCATAAAAAAATAATAATAAAATAAAAAAACCTCCAAGTACAAAGAACAGGGGACAGATGTAAACAGAAACTATCTCCTTGCCAAGTGGGCAGGCTATAAATGAAGTAACAACAACAACACAGCTATCTTCTTGTGCGGCTGGAACCCAGGGGGTTTATGTACCCTCCCTCTCTATTCAGCTGCCCAACGGGAGTTATTAGCCATCAGCTTCCTATATTATCCTCCCCCTTAACCAGTTTTCAGCGCAGGTGCAAAATATCACCAATAATCCCAACCTGGTGCCATCAGGCCAGACCTGGTCCTCGAACCAGGATCCTGACAGAAGGGTGCATGCATGGACAGTTACTTGAGGTATACCAGATGCCTCCACAAGAGGCTCCATCATGGACACCAGATGCTAATGCAGCACGGGAAAGGAGACAAAAGGAGTCAGAACACGGAAGGGAACTACATAAACAGGAAAGCACGCCCCTTTTTTGGAGTCTGGTGGAAACTGCCTCTGCAGCTGAACCTCTCAGTATAGATACACCTTAGACTGTAAGCAAGGGGGAAGTCTGCTGTCTAGGGCACTTCTCCACTGCAGGCATTTTTCATACTCTAATAAAACTCTTTAATACTTAGGAAACAAGTGTAAATTGCTACAATTCGATGAACTTGACCTATACTTACGGATGTAGTGGCTCAAAATACCAACTGAGAGGGAAGGAGACTTGATTCACATCAAGGATCAATCCTATCCCCCTCTGTACATAAGGTTAATAGGGATGGGCAACTTAGACATGGGCTACCTAAAATGGGGACTATACATGCACAAAGTGGCTGACTTACAAGTTTTCTAGAGGGAATTTAGTTTAAGAGTGTTCAGGGGATGGTAGAATCGCCACTGAATAGTTTTTACTTGTCTAGATGGGTCTGGTGAAAGGAGATGGGGATACGATTCTTACGATTCAATAGTGAGTCATTTTTATGACTAATTGTGACTGTCACAACTGTAAAGGTAGAAATTTTGTAACAAAAAGGGGGGAGTAGTTAATCTTACATTCCAGGAACAGAGGACCCTAGGACCATCAAGGGAGAAGAGCATGAGTGCTATGTGGGACCCTATCCAGAGAAGCAGTGACACCAGAGATGGAGGCAGAGATGGTGACATGGAGAGAAGGAGCAGCTGAGGACTCGAGACTCATGGAAAGAGAAAGGCTGTGTGCTGGCAGCCAGGAGGCAGGCTTGCAGTATGTGTCTTTGGTTGTTTAGATGATTATATATTCCTGAGTGTTTCTGTGCACATCCTCCCACCCCCCCAAATGAAACAGAAGGAATAGAAGGAAATACTGTTGAATGATGATGCACAGAGGAGATTGTAATCATTGCAATGAAATGATGAGTGTAAAACTGATGTTCCCTAATGTAAACTATCACTCAATTCACAATAAAAATTTCAGGAAAAAAACACCCAACACTTTAATACTCTATTTCACAAATTTATAGACTTCTGTAGCCTGACCTGGTATCAGCTCCACAGAACCTAACAACATGAATGCCATCAACTTGTGGCATTTCTGTTCTAGAAATACTAGATAGCTAAGACACTGTGGTATTTTCACTTGCTTCATATGAAACGAATAAGGAAGACCGGAAAAGAATTGATGCATTTGAATTGTGGGGTCCACCAACAGGTTTATTTAAAAAAAGAGGAAGACCCCTAACGAGATGGATTGACACAGTGCTGCAACAATGATTGTGAGGATGGTGCAGGCCTGGGTAGTGTTTGTGTCTGTTGTACACGGGGTTGCTGTGAGTTGGAACTGACTTAGCAATAGCACCTAGCAATAACAACAACACAACTGTGTGAGCCATTGCCTTAATAAAAACCTCTCTATGTATATATA